AGAACCAAACAACCCTCCAGAATGTGTCTGGCATAATTAACTTGATGTGTGCTGGACGTGCATTAGTTAGTGGTCCTTGAAATTAAGCTAAGCTGTTGTCTTAATTAATTATGTTCCATACAATTAATTATTAAACCCATGGAGGAGATCGTGAGTCATAAAGATTTTTTCCCCTCTTTGGATTTAGGTTGCCAGGAAAAACACGACGCTTAGCTCTCGTCACATGATTCAGACATTTTCTGAATTGGAGTTTTGTTGAGCGCTTTCCACTGAAATTAGATCTTGTTAAAGTTTTCCTCGTTATTCCGTCCTCGATTCAAAGGAAGAGCTGTTCCTTCTCAAATGCAACTAAACAGACGCATTTTGTTTGGGGGTTTTCCAGAACAGGGAAGCTCGCATCGGGTGTCTTCAATATGGGAATGTGGTTAATTTTAATACTTGGTGTGGGTTTCGGGGCGAAAATAACAGACGCATGTCAAAACAGAACATGGCTGAAGTGAGTTTGGTGCTTTAAAGGAGACGGATTCATGTTTTGTGAATGACATATTGCAAATCACTCAGCAAATACTTGAACGTCCTGACAGGCTTGCTGTGGGGAATGGTTTTTAATCATTGTGGGCAAGCTGCTAAAGAGCAGCTTTGTAAAAAGTTAGTCAGCCTTTCCTTAAGCAAAAACATTTCTTAGTGCTCCAGCTGGTGAAGCATCTACGGATCATTATGTTTCCATGTTCGAGGACATTCGTTGCCCCAAGGAAGAACCTAAGGAGTAATAACAACTAGGCCAAGAGTGTCACATTCACTTCAGGTTATGTGCAACACAGAGTCAGTTTGATTCTGAACCATTACAGAAAAAATGTTCCAGTTAGTGTACAAGTGCTCACCTGAGCCAAAGTGAAAGACTCTCACTGCACTCCCCATAAAAAATATGGTGGTATTATTTCTTGTTAGATTATGTTTCTCATTTAAGGATAAGTCTACTGTGCAAAAGTCTTGAGATACCCCTCGTTTATTTTTATTTGGTTAGAAAACGACATACAAGTGCAGTGATTATTTGCTACGTGCAAAGATAAAAGGACATGTGTATAGTATACAAGGCAGAAACAGAGCTTGTACAAATGATCACCTCAATTCTGTCTGTCATAGTGTCCTGATGCCGTGTGCTTTTACTCCTGTTCTCTCATACCTGTGGTGTTGGGGGTTTCTTACAGGTGTGTTCATGGACTCCAATACCCGTTCTTCATCATCTCATCCAGCTTTAGCATTTAAGGACGGGTCTGCCTTCCATTCATCGCCAGATTTTGTTTTAGTGGCCCTAATCCCCTTCCATAGTTTCTTGATTATCACTCTTACACTGAGACCATTTCTGATGAAGCTTCAGTGAAGAGCAGATGAATCAACTGAAGGGCCAAATGCATCTTTGAGGTCCTGTGTCAGAAATTGTTGGACTTACATATTTTGTAAGGATATAACTTCCTGCAAAAAGCTTTTTAGGCTTGACGCTTTCTTTTATCCTCCATTTTTCCAGTTTTTTTAAGGCTACAGCACACACTGTACTGATATATCTCAAGTTTTTAGTCAAAAGCTCTTTGAGAGTCATTAGCTTTGGCTTTTCTGGTAGATTCAGCTAAAGAAAAGACAACAAATTATGTGTTTTTGTGACAGGCTGGTGGTAACAGTGCAATTTAAAATGGGTTCTTTGCAAAACTTGATTGTTATGTGTAGACACAACACTGGTTCATCCCTTGAGATGTTTTTTATGCCTGGAAAACTGTTGCTTAAGAATATTTTAAAAATGAAAACAAAGTCTGGCTCCTTGGAAACAAAAAATGCAGAAACAAGAAGCACTGTGACAGTGCAAGAGAGCTCACTCTGTGCAGTGTTACTTTTAAGGAAACCGTTTTGTCTTTTCTGTATATTCGTTTTGTTTTCTTCATTGCATTTACACATGCACATAAGACAAGGTTAGAATTACAGATTAGACAAATATTATGTAGTAGTAGGTAAAAGATGGATGAGTATGTAATATTATACTGCATAATATTTCTAACTTACTGCACAGCTCGTTCTCTTGACAACAATACAGCCCTACAGAGTTGAATCAGAATTTATTTAAAACTTCTGAGCTATTGTGTTTACAGGCATAAAGAATGACATGTGAACGCTACAAAAACATAAGCTGGAGGTAAGGAGGAGTTAAGACTTTTGCACATCACTGTATAAAAGCAGCCTGAGGAGTTGGCCCACATGTGCTGAGTCTAATGTCACTGGATTAGTGAATGTAGTTTTTGTGAGATCTAAACACATTTCTTGGCATTTTTACTCCTGTGTACTAATGCCAGCCTCAGCACATTTTTAGTAAGGAATAAAAATATGTGTGATTGATAACTTTTCTAAAATAATAACACTCTGCAGAAGCCTTCTTGCAGAGCCGTCCATGCACTGAATCCTTTGATTCAATTCTGACCCCTCAACAGCATATTCAGCACCTCAGGCTGAGGTGAAAATGTAGCTATTTTGTAACCTTATCGCTCTTATGAACTTAATATAACACCACGGTGGGTAAAACGAACCACTGCAAACAGCTTCTCCGCTGCCTTGTTGATGACAGATTATGTGCAGGAAAGATTACACTTACAGGGCTGTAAGAGGTGGTTTACTGTCCCTGCACGAATCCTACACGTGAGAGGTTTATTGGTCAAAACAAGCCAAATAACAGTGAGAGTGGACAACGAGTCTGCCTTCACAAAAATATCCAACGTCTTATATCGAATTTTGTTATCTTTCTCTTATCAAGCTAGGCTGAGTCAGACGACTCACAGGTGGAAATTAATCATTTGTTTCAGCAGAAGAATATAAAATGAATTGGTTTAGTTTCCTACTCGGTGCAAATAAATATATTTTTGTGCTGGATGAATGACTATCCTCCAGACCCTGCTGATGGATGAGTGGTGGAGGGGTTGAAACATGCCAGAAGGAAAGATGGGAAATTTTATCCTAAATAGATAACCAGTTTTGGAGGGTGTGTTTGGTGTATGATGTTCAGATTGCCTGCCTGAACTAGCTCGCGGGCTTCGCTCCATTTGTGTATCCACCAGCACTAATTGACTTTCCACTGGCATTGTTTCAGTGAGCCTGGCATGTCATTTTAATACAGCACAGAGCTGTAACAGCTCTTTGTACACTACTCTGTGATATCTGGTTGGGGGGAGGTTGGTAGTTTTGGGGGTTTTCTTGCATTTTATAATTTGTTTGGTTGCAGAATACTTTTAATACAAGTAGACATTAAACAGAACAAAATGAACTTACCTACAGTCATGTTATAACGCATCACATGGAGCAAGATTTTATTTTTTAAAAAGAGGCTAAAATTCATTTGATTTAATCACATCAGCTGCTACATACTGGAATCACCTGCTCTTCATGGATGAGCTTCAACCTTAGAGGAGGTTTGCAGGCACTGAGTCAGCAGAGCGTCCGTCACTTATATTCACTGTATGTCTCAGCACTCGGCCATCCCGCTCTGGAGCTTACGTGTTCTGTCACTTAGCTGAGGTGCTATGATTCCTAAATGCATCAACTTTGCAATATTAATGCTTGCATTTTATGCATTTTATGGAATATCTGTTAAAGAAGAAACGTTATGAATGGACTTGTTGCAGCGTCAGCATCGTGTTACCGTGCACTCGAGTTCAGTGAGCTCTCTATTTTTCCCCATTCTCTCAGAGATGTTTGCAAAGGCAGGCTGCTAAATCTGCTCTTTATTGTAAACTCTATTTTGTTGTGAGAGAACATATTAGCTTTGATGATGAGTTAAGTTCTGAATGCTGCTGTTGTGTTTTTAAAGCTGTTCATAACTCCTACAGTTACGTGATTATTCAGCATACAGTAAGTGGACACCACGTGGTTATTGAGCATGTCATTTTAAAAGCACTCAAATCTGCTCCAGTTGTTGTTTTTGGCTTTCGATCTGAGCTTTGAACCAGATTTGATCCCATTCGTGTATAAGAGCGTTAGATAGGTCTGGAAACACTGCTGGGTGATTGGGCTTGCAAGATGTCTGACGTTATCATTTTTTAAGAAACAAAAGCAAATTCATAGGTGAACAGTGATGTTATCAGAATTCAAGTCCAATATATATATTTGATCATTTCTGCAACACTTGTGGATTTAATGCAGGTAGGCTGCACTGCTCCCTCTTTGGATTCAAATTAGGACGGAAACTTGCACAACATACAACTTGTACGGTTTTATCAGCTTTCCAAACATATCAGGTGATTATATGGAATTTCCAAAAGTATTTTCAAGGCAGATTTTCTGCAAACTCTTAGAAGCTTCCCTCCTGTCCTGTCTGAACAGCGTGTGCAGGGCGAGCCGTGTAGATTTGAACTCGGCACGCTGTTGCCATGAGCGAGGGATAACCGCCTGAGTCCGTGTAATTGCTTTGCTGAGCGTTATGTAAGAGGAGTAGTTTTGTTGCAGATTCGGGATAATTTCAGCAGCAGCAGCAACAGCAGGCATAAAGCCTCCTCGCTGCTGGATTATTCAGTATATTTCATCCAGTGTATTCGCTTACGCTTCTCCTCGAGTTGTCCTGTTTCTCAGAAAGAGAAAAAAGGCGTGCCCAGTAGCATTTAATATTACATTTCTTACACTTGTTACTTTTTCCAATTCATATTGTCAGGATGGACTAAAGTCAATCTCGTGGAATAATGAACTTACTCCATATCAAAAACAAAGGCCCTTCAGTTTCATTGTCTGTGATATACCTGGCCACATATTTTTATGTGGAAGGAAACATGATGCTCAGGCCTACAAAGGTTATGCAGATAGTTTTCAGCTTTGTTCCATAGAACAGTATGGGGAAGACCCATTCCTGTTTCAACATGATAACACTCCTGGCTATGTGCACGTAGCCACGGGTGAAATACCAACCAGTAATTTGCCATGTATGTAATGACTCTTCTTATGATAACAGATTTCATTAATAATGAAATGAACTGTTTAATGTGCTATTATGTTTTATTACACATAAACACATTACATGGTGGTTAGTAAAGAATAACAGGAAATGCTTTTTTGTATCATTTATACTGGACAAAAATAACAGGATAGAGTCCAGTTTGATCCTGTATCTGATCCTAAGGAGTTCCAGAATATCGGAACGATGTGGGTTTTGCTTTGGGGTGCAATGGTGATGGACAGGCTGACAGATAAGGTCAGGCAGGAGTCTCTATGAATTATGATGTTTGCAGACAACATTGCGATCTGTAACGAGGAGCCGGCAGGTGGATGAGAGCCTGGAGAAGTCAAAGTATGCACTGCAAGTCTGTAGAAGCAAGAAAGAATCTGTGCGTGAATGAGACAGAGGCAGATGGAAAGGTGAAAGTGCGAGGTGTAGAGGTCGAGAGCTTAAATACTTGGGCTCAGTCATTCAACACAATTGAGTGAGGTGAAGGAGAGAGTGCAGGCAGGGTGGAGTGGGTGGAGACGAGTGTCAGGGGTGATTTGTGACAGAAGGATAGCAGCAAGAGTGAAAGGGAAGATTTACAGAAGAGTGAGACCTGCTGTGATGGCTCGGAGGTGGAGGCATAGATTGGAGTTGAAGAGGCTCAGAGCTTCATTGGGAGTGACCCGGATGGACAGGATTAGAAATGCCTATATGAGAGGGACAGCTCAGGTCAAGCTGTCTGGTGTCACAGCTCCCCAACCCTGCTGGTTTCTGTTTGCCTATTCTCATTGTGTGGATGGAGGCATTATGCTTACCTTTTTTTGAGAGTGGTCCTCCTTGGTGCCCGTTCTCCACCCATGTTACAGGCACACCTAAGTGTACACACTAGACAAAGATAAAAATAGGACAAGAGGAAGATCCATGGATGAGATGAAGGCAGATGTAAGACCCCCTAATGGGAACAGTTCAAAAAGTGAAGATTTTTGGGGTTCATTGCAACGCAAATTGTCACAAATAAGGACCCAAAGAAGGACAGCAGAAGTAGAGGTGGTAAATCCACAGGTGCTACGTGGGTGGGCATCGTACACTGTTTAAAGTGAGCAGTAGTCTTAGACTTCAAATTTGGAAGCCTCAACCAGCAGTGGCCATGTTTGGATGAGCAAGTGGAAGTCCTGAGGTAATGCTAGATGCTTGGTTGTCTGTATATCTGTAGTTTCACGTGTCATACTTGTCAGATTATTTTATTAAAATGCTCCAAAGGGCTCCGATAGCTGGAGAGGCAGACAACGACCCGCGGCACAGGCTGCAGCTGCCTGTGCCGCTACACGGAGGCGCCTTAAAGCTGCCTTTAGTAAATTAATGTGACTATTAGAGTCAGACAGGAGGATATCCGGGGTATGCCTATAAGCTAACAATCACAAGTCATTAGCCAATCAGCTTGCAGTGTGCTGCCTGCCACAGCAGTCGTAACATCATAATGTGGATCCAGGCAGATATGCTGTGTTTTACAATATTAACCCCCCCTCTGTAGCAGATAGGCACCATTAAAAGTACGCTGAATCATTTATTAGCAGTTCCTGTTTGCAAAACAGTCACACATGAATGGCCAGCTGTCATTGGATTACTTTCAAGCTGAATATAACTAAAAATAAAAATGAGATAATTTGCAGGCAAGTTTTCAGCTGACAGGGACAAACTTTTATCCCTTTGTTTTTACGGAGGAGTCGCTCCAAGACGTACCTGTTCACCTGCAGTGGCAGCATTTCCACGTCTCTAAGGGTCCTCGGAAACTTGTGGCCTCGACCTTTGTGCATATTTTCTCATTATCTCATTCTTCTGTCTTGGACTTACTGATTTAAACATTTTTCTACCTTTCTCATATCAGAATCAATATCACTTCAGCTGACAAGCAATACAGTTTTTTGTACTTCTGAGAAATGTTACCAAACATTTTTAAGTTTTTGGGAGATGGTGAGCATATTTACTCCTTGTACGCTGATCACATTAAGCAGGATTTACGTTTTGCCCAGTTCTCTTGAAACAAAATTGAATTTTTTACACTTCAACAGGAGAAAATGACCTGATTCTCTTATGGCCAAAGGAGGACATTCCGGTTCCACGTATCGCTGGGTCACGCAGGCCTTATCAGGTACAAGAAACTATGTACATTTTAGAGCGTTTCTGTCTTTGTCTGTGGTGTACGTGCAAAAATGAGTCCTCTTAAACTGTGAGAAAACTCTGTGGAGGGAAATTTGTGACGTATGAGCAGAACAAAACGTGTGTTGTATGAAAGCGGTCAGCTGAAGGCAGCATCATGCCCCCGAATCACTGCGGCAGAGTTAGTCAAGGACGCATAAAAAACAAATTCTAAGAACTCCGGCCCTTTGAAAATGTGATTTCCAACTGTGACTCTGGACTACAAAGACTTGTGTGTACAGGCAGAGAGGATTGCACAGTTTAACGAAGGATAAAGTCGACATAGAACATTCAGATTTCAAGATATTTATCATGAAAAGCGCTATACAAACACAGGCCATTCACCATGATGTTTGCTGTCTAGAAAAAAAAAATCTGTGTACGTGACTTGACTATATTCAGTTGACATAAGATAAAAGTTGCCAAAGTGGTCTGTGCTTACCTTCAGCCGTTCGGTCAGACTCTGCTGTCTCGCCTCGCAAAGGAAAAACTTCCTCTGAGTGTTGTCCTGGGGAATATTATGGGATATCACGGGGGCATTCACCGTGATGAATTTGTGCCATGTCTTAAGTGTGCTCGGTGAAAAAAGGTAGGCACATTTCCATGACTATCTATATTCTAAATGCATACAAATCCCACAGGAAATACCATTAATAATGCTTTCTAGTACTGAAAAGTGTGTCACACAGAGGAGGCGGTCACACAGACCCAGTCCTGCACATCTTTAAAACCCAACCTGACAATACACATCACTCCACATCCACACCAATGACAGTGAAGAATACTTTTTTAAACGTATGTTCATACTCTTCTCATATCCACCATATGTCTGCATACAAAGTACTACTGTTTTGTTACTTTGTTACTTTACATCTAAATACACAAACTCCTACTTATTGGACTTCCACCTTACTGAGGGCTGTTTGGGAGGAAGTCCAGAAGCAGTTTACTTCTACGAAGCTTCAGCCCAGCTCTCTCCCTCGTTGTGTTCAATACATTATTTATTAGGCAAAAGAAAAACTGAATTCATGTTTTATACCCAAATTTGAGCTGTTTGATGTCAGAAATTAATCAAACATAACATTCAACCACTAAAAATTGCTAAAAGTAAATAAAAGTAAAGTTTTATTCTATGAATAAAAGATAATAGTTGTAAAAATAAATAAATAAAGATAAATAAATACAGTGTAAATATATAGGTATGGCATATACTGTACTTATGCCCGTGTCTTCAGCATAAATGGCATTATTTCACAGGTGAGAAAGCAGCAACAGGTGTGACAGAGGTGCTTACACTTTAATCAATTCATTATAAACTAATTTATCTACTTATCCTTCTATGGAAGCTTTATGGGTGTGTTTGGTGTTTCACACACAGCGTCTGCATTTTGGCTTAATTTTTTGTTAAATAAGTAACGACATGATATAATGTGTGTTGTTGTTCATCTGAGATCATATTTACTGAATTACGAGACCTCCAGAGGATCCGAAGGTTCATTTTGTGTTCTGTTTGCACTAACGTGTCTCCATCTACTCATACAGCCAACATTACGCGACATTTCAAACAGTGTCTGATAAAATGATCGCATCTTCTCTTCATCCGTTCATTTTCCTCGTGGTTCAAGGTTGCAGTCGGCTGAAGTCTGAGGGTAAATTAAATGCACTGAGTCATCGTTGCAGCTAGCTGTTCTGTTGTATTTTACATGAAGAGAGTGATTAAATGTTTGGCATGAAAAACAAATAAAGAGAGATGAGATGATAAATGGCAAATGTCCTTGGCCAACAACACAGTTTCTGAATGATCCAACAGTTTAACACTTCCTCACACACCCCCTGGAGAGCATCACACAATTTGAAAGGCAAATTCAAAATACTGTAACAGCTTGAATTTCAGGGACAAGAGGACATTTCCAATCAGCGGGGCTTTGAATCTAAACTAAATAAGACTTTAAAGGCATGGTGTGATGCTCTGTGACAGGATTTAACCCCTTCTGGCCTCAGTCTCTGTCTGCATTTCAGTTCCTTGCTTTAAATTTTTATTATCTGCTAATAAAATAAGTTTTCCTCAGCTCGTCATTCTTGTTATTTCTGTTTTTCTAGAGCATTTTTGTGCCGACGACAGGGTCCAATCACTAAAAACAAACAGATAGGCAGAGCCAGCAGTTGATACTATGACTCAGCCACTACAAAACTAGAAAGCATGAGTTTCCATGTGCCACGACCTGCACAGACAGAGTTTCAGCCGGGCAACACCCATTGGATAAAAGTAGGTCAAGTTTACATTCACGTCATTCTCCGCTGTGGAATTACAGTGGACCGTTTCCCTGTTGCTCAGATTTACAGTTGAACGCAGCTGCTCTAAGAAGCTCGTTTTGTCGTGCCTGAGAGAAAGACTGTGTAAAGGACACAAAAGCAGGAGCTCATGTTCGAATATGAGCATGCACTAACCCTGAGGAGCAACTGTAGCAATCAGGAATCTGTGCCGTTATCACAAAACCAAGCTGGTTCATTTACTGGTCCGAGGTGGGAACATATTCGCATCCAAATGAGTTTAAATAACTCTGACATAAAATATTCTTAAATAAAAGTTTTTTGCTCATATGTTGCTTAGGAAGTTTAGACCTCGGTGAAATAAACCACCCAACAAACAAACAAAAAAAAACCAAAATGCTGTTCGTGTACATTTTTCTGTGTAATGTAGTAAAAATGATTTAAATGTGTTTTTAGGAGGAAAGCGCCCACACTCATAATGTTTTAAATGCTTTTGGTTGGCCTGAAAAAGAACATTTGTTGTTTTTTTGTATAGCTGAGGTACAAATCCAGCGTAACTGATGGGCTGCAACATGTAACAGATTTTACATTTTGGCATAAATCCTCCAATTTCCTTGAGGTTGTAGCAAATATTGGAAAATTACATGGTTTCATCTGAACCGTTAAACATTTCACTAATAGGCTACAGATTATAACTGACTTGAAGTTTCGTGGTGGGCATGTGTGGGCGAGCATTACACAACCTGTTGTACAACCCACTTTTTAGCAAAACCGCGTGACATTCATTTAAAAGTTCAAAGACAAGAAATGAAAATTGACCCTTGTTGTTCATAGCGTGCTAACTGTGCACATCCTGGATGTTGCTTTGAAACTGATCGTTTAGCATTGATGGGACCCTCACTTATATGTAGAACAGTTATTCTATCTGCCTTAGCTTAAACCTCATTGAACGTTTTTGAACTGCATGCTGATAACAAGCCAGACAATTGTCCTTCTCTTTAGAGGACACAGCGTCCGGAGAGTCTTTCTGAATCTGTCTAATATTTCTATTTTTCTCTGCATGGTACAGTTTTAACTTTCAAGTGTTCCTAAGTTTGTGTTTCCATGCAGTGACCTGCAGCCTGGTCCTTACAGCCGAGTTCATTCCTTGAAGAGGTCTCTCCATATTCTCTGAATCTTTTTTAATAATTGTATGCACTGTGCATAAAAGAAAGTCCCAAATTCTTTGCATTTTTTGTGGGAGAAACTTGAAATTGTTGAAGTTTTTACCTACAAAGTTACAAACTTGTTTTCAGATGTTTTACTAGGAGCTTTTTTAAATTTTGATTTAGGATTAAAGAGATTTCCCAGTCGTTTCCTCTCCCAAATGTTACAGTTACTGTTACAGATGTATCAATTTATTCAATTAATTAACATCGATTAAAACAATAAAACTAATAATACCCAAACAATTTCTAAAATGTAATCATTAATAATTGACTAGATTTCTCGATCTGACTTTAAAACTGGCTCTGAACCCTCCTCGAGGTTAGATAATACTGGGAGATGTCACATTTTCTCAATTTTTAAGGCATTTTTCATTTTATTTTGTTTGTTCTTTGGTGATGCACATTCCAAAAATGGCATTTAATAAAACCAGCAGCTAAAATTGTGACTTCTGGTACCTCCAAGAATCTGGAGTCCTGGGGCAGTTGTTTGCTTTGCAGATAGTCTGATCTAGCTCTTGTGGAACAATTCATGGAAAATGCCCTTGTTGTGCTGAAATAACTTCTCTTTTTTTAAGGGGGGGCAGGGAGGGGGAGGGCAAAGGAGACAGGGAAACACTTTATGAACTGAGCAGATTTATTTTTGATATTTAATGACCTCTATAGTTTTATGGATAGTGCTTTGGCTATCTGGGGGTTTTGTAGTGTAGTATGTATATTTCTTTGCAACTATGGTGAAAGGACAGGGTGAAATAAGATAATAAAAAGGTTTTATTCATCTCCATAAAATCTTTTATGACAAAGATGCTTGGCCTAGTAAAATAAATATGTACGTAATAAACTTCTGGTGGCTTTGAGAGTTCAAATTGACTCCAACCTAAGAAAACACCAGCAAATAAAGAAATGCTGCAAAAGTGCACAAACCACAATGATTTAGGTGAGACAATAAAGTGACAAACCGGCTGTGGAAGTGACAGAAACCAAAAGATCCAATGGACAGAAGTGAAATGCGCTGAAAAGATTGTGAGGAAGAAAAAGATGCTTTTGGTGCATTTTTCTACTACAGCTGTTAGTTTTAGTTTTTACTTCTGTTGTATTTTGTGAGCCTTGGCAGTATTTTTTTTTTTAATGATATTTTCTTATTTTGCAGTGCATTTGGTCTCTCAGGGCCAGACTTCTTCTGGACACGATCTATCCTGTTATACGTTATACATGTATTTCATCATATTTTGAAAGGCAGTGTTAAATAACACTTTTACACGCCAGTTTAAACTATAATAATCTCTATATTAATATTTCCCCTAAAAAACTGAAAAATAATTAAAAGTAAATCTAAATGTATGTGTACTTGCTAGACACGTACTTTGATTAAAGCCAATGTTTCCGACTGTCACTGAACGCACCTCTGAAGCAACTCTTTTCTTTTTTTTCCGAACGCGCCGCGCTCCCCGCCCTCCCGGTGCTTTGACGTCACCGGCATCCGTCTCCGCACATGGATGGAGGAGTGTAGGAGCTCTGACAGCGACACTCCTCCCTCTGCCCTCCTCCTCCAGCTATTTGCCAGCCGCCCTCGACGACAGACAGCCAGCCGCTCGCCGACCTGCTGCTGCGCGGAACCTTATCGTCTCCCTCCGAGCACCGGCGTCGTTTATTCCACCTGCGCGGGACCTTCACGGACCGGCCAGCGAGTTCGGTCGCCTCTTTTTCTTTTGTTTTCGGGGGGGGAATTTAAGTCTTTGTGAGCTTTGTTCTCAAATTGCCCTTCAAGACATATGGAGAAAATGGCCAGACCTCTTCCTATAAACCCAACTTTTCTTCCGCCGACTCACGGCGTGCTGAAATCCCTGCTGGAGAATCCGCTGAAGCTGCCTTTCCACCACGATGAAGGTACGTTTAAACCGGGCCAAAACTTGAAGCCGCGAGCGCGCACTCTCGGCCGTGGTGTTTACGTGCGGGCTGTTGTGGTCATTCAGTGCGTAGATTTGACAGATCGGAGGCGATGAAGGACACTGGTTCGCTAAATCCATCAGCTGTGACTTTCCTGTTAACGTTTTACGACGTTTGTCGATGTAACGTCGCTGTCCGTATCTGTTAAATGTGAGTTGACTGACAGGTTGACGTGAACTTTGGCTCGAGCTGTTTAGCATGTACTTGTCATGTAAATTAGCGCAGTGCGTGTTAATTTGCACGCTATGTGCTCCCGACTGCGCCGTTTTGAGCTTGCGGGCTCCTTCTGCAACCTTTAAACCCGCTCGTCTTCTGTGGGATTTACAGTAGCGCCACCTCTGGCTGCCGATAGAGGGCGTCGTTTCCGTTATGAAGCTGCTGCTGTTTGCGCTGTTTGGATTCTTGGATGTATTGAGTGAAAATGTATTTAAATATGAGTGGAGAGCAGGTTATTAATTTTTAAAAGGTGATTCTATCCAAGTTACAGGTTTCTATGTGCACTTCTATGGTTTTATTTGTCTGTGGTGTAAAATGTTGGACTTTTGTCACCGCTTCAGCACACTTGGAGCCAATACTTTTAATGTTGCTTACATTATTGGAAGATGACACACTGAAATCCCATCAGAAATAATTTATTGGCGTGTTTTATTAAGTTAACATATTATTT